CAATCATACACATCATATTCAAATGAGTATGGTTTATTAACCCTCATGCTGTACAGAACCTGTGATGTCTGCTCTGAAAACATTTGGATTTAGGGATTAACATAGTTGCCATGGTTTCTGTCTTCTCTTATTTTTTTATTTCCGGTGTGATCAGAAGATGGGCCTGCAGGGGAAAGTCGCCCCCTTGCAGGTCAGAAAAAATGGGATAACGTAAAGACAAAATACAAAGTATGCTGTTATGAAGAAGAAACACAAGTTATTAAATGTACTTTTACTAAGAGTTGTTGTGTTGTTTTTATTTGTCTACTGTCATTTTTGATTTCCTCTGCCTTTAGGATCCAAGTATCCAGCGTCAGGAGAGGGAGTCAGTGGGAAGCCCTCATGGATGAGGTGATAGGACAGATGCCTTCCATTAGGCCTCCTGTCTTAATTTCTTCTCTCGCTGAGGACACTCCGGGGCCGAGTGCAGCAGTGGGTGACCAAAATGAAAGGGAATCGGACACTGATGAGGAAGGGAGTCAGCCAATCACAACAGGGAGGAAGTGGAGAAGGGATCGGGATGATGAGCTGCTCAACCTCATCAAAGAGGATATGTGGCATCAAAGGGAGGCCGGGGAGAGAAGTCTGCCTAAATGGCAGATGCTTTTATTAGAATCTTTTTGTTCCATTGTGATATTTGTGTTGTAAGTTAAAAGTCTTATGTTCTCAATAAATTGACTGAAACAAACAGTAATTGTCACTGAACCCATTTTATTAACATGTATGAACATGGTGACTCAAGGTCTGAATAAAGGCAACAATACTGACCGTAGCTTTTTCTTACAGGTCCAAGGCGGCACAATTCAATCTCCTGGTGGGACGTGGAGCAAATCCATCTGCCAGAAGGTATAATAGGAATACTTTTAGAGAGGGGGGAGGGGGGAGACAGACAGACCCACAAGTTAATTACATCAACCATTGAATGATAACATTAGACACATAGTGAAGGGATATTTCAAAAGGATGCAGGCAATACACCACAAGAACATTAAGACAAAGCTGTTTTGACTCTGAATCCTGCCAGGGGGATGGTGAAACAAATAATAAAACTCAGGGCGTTCATTAAACCCTCTTCCCCCACAGAGGAGTCGGAAGGGATAGCTCAGTAGGTAGAGTGGTTGCCCCATGATCGGAAGGTCGGGTGTTTGAATCCACTGAACGGCTACCCTAAGGTACCCCAGAGCAAGGCACCGCCCCAACACACTGCTCCCCGGGTGCTGGATTGGTGGCTGCCCACTGCTTCACTGAGTGAATGGGTTAAATGCAGAGCACTAGTTTCCCTATGGGCATTAATAAAGTATACATTACATCATATTATCCCCCATGGAGGAACTTACAGAGGCAGTAACTAAAAGCTGATGTTGGATGACAAAGTGCTATAAAGCTAGATTAGCTCAATCTATGCTGGAGGCAGCCAGATCTTTGATTACAGAAAATGTCGAATCCTCACGTATTTCTGATCCCTCGCCGCTGTCTTCTGCTGAGTCTCTTGAGGAAGGGACGGCGGGGGAGAAATCTAGAAAGGGGGGGAGGAATTTCCATCTTTAATAAAACCAAATAGAACAAACTGTGCAACATTGTATCCCGAAATACAAATTACCAGGAAAAGTGAAGCCAGAGGCATGGACCTGAGTGAAGGGAGGGAGCTGGGTTTGGAAGTAGGCGGACCTCCTTCCACCTCTCTTCCTCCCCCCAGCCAGAACTCACA